TGTAAGCAACAGCACCAAGGGTAACTTCTTCTGTGTTTGCAGCAGTAAATGAAAGCACAGAGCAAACTAATTTCATGTCCCTAATGTGATCAAGAAGGAAAATTGTGTTACATGACAAGTAAAACCAACAGACTTCCTGATGCAAATGCTAGTGTCAAGCAATCCGATGATATGGAAAAAAGGAATTTTCAGATGCACAGTGTGACTTCATAAATCTGACATTTCATGGACAGTTTACAGCTCTATGTTGGATTAGTAAGATCCGAATACTAATATACCCCATCGAACAATGCTGGTTTACTAGTAGTGAATGTATTTTTACAATTTAATATAAGCAAATGGACTTGTGTTTTAATTTGGTATTGTGTTGCCAAACTTAATTTGATAGAAATCTCATTTTATGTTAGTGTACTGGTGTGCCAAGGAAGAATTTTGGGTACTGTCATGATATTTTAGTTGGGTAAAAACTTTTAATTTTACATTTAATTACAAAAAATAAGGTAAGCGAAGTTTCGTAGTTGGAATTAGTAGAAAATGCAATGTGAAAGTGCAGGAGGAATTATGACAGCTACATTTTACTCCGGCTGTAACTTGCTATCATTCCTGACGTCATTTCTTATGAAGTTTATAGTACATACAGTATAAGGCTCTTAAAAGGTTATATGTACAGTCTATACCATAGGTTAACCACCCAAAAAGAAGCACATTTAATATTTTTGGAAGATTCCTAGAGACACTGTTTCCACAACATTGTCTGGTATGTGTTGTATACACCCACGTTCTATATCACCCACCTCATCTAACTAACTCAGTCTAACTTCACACCAGAGAATGAACCTCCTCTTCTCAGTAACCATGTGCCAAACAACAATAATGCAGTTCAGAAGGAACTCAGTTTTTTTCAGATTGTGTTAATGTCTGTTTATTATATACAGAATGTGAATCCACCATTGAATTTAGTAACTCTTTTAAAAGAACAGTGGTAATATATGCAAGTATTATGTACTGAATAGAGGTTTTTACTACAGAGCTTTTTCCAATAAATTCCCACTTCGAATTTAATTATAATGGAGTCTTTGCTATACAAGTAAGATAAGGAAGCCACAAACATTTCTCAGGAAAACGCTGCTAGCAGCAGCGGAGTTAGAATATACTGTATATATGTGGGAGTGTACAGGAGATGGAGAATGACAAAAACAAGCAGAAGTTGAGGGAAAGAAAAAAGCAACATTTCAGCCTGCAGCCGGCTCCACAGCCAAGACATCATGTCTTTTTTCTGTTTCGTCTTATTTTTCAGTGTGGGACTAACCTCCACTTGACCCTTTGCAGCTTGCATGCTGACACAATTCCCCACTCAACCAACATACAGCAAGCCCGGATTTTCCTCGTCTCCTTGCCCCAGCATTCTGTTACCCAAAATAACTCCAAAATACCTCAGGTTCCAGAAAGACACCGGTTTGTCCTGCCTGTTGTTCAGAACTTGCCCAGTGCCTCTCTTGGACACTAGAGGATACTGGAAACCTTTTTCTCCCTGAGGCCGTACTGATCTAATCCTGGATTCGATGTTTTCTGCTTCATAAAAAAACACAAAGATAGCTGATGTCTGTGGTGCAGTCATTGCTGAGCAGTAGTGTTCAGATACTGTATACCGTTCAGGTATGTTTATTAAAAGCAAAGTATGAAGTAAGGCATTCCGACAGTCACTGTAATCTATTTTCTGAAAGGTCACTTAACACTGTCACAAGCATTTAGCCACCCAAAGACATTTTAAAAGACACTTTTTATTAGTTAGTACAGCTGTATTTTGTCAGAATTATATGTGATACAGAAAAAATGTAAACCAGGGATTGAGTATGAATACCTAAACATGAAATCAGAGATTTACCCGTAAATAAGAAAAAACACCGGTTCCCTTTCAATACACAGTGTGATCATCCTGGGTCATGAAGGGCCTTATTACTAAGCTCCAGGACCAGATTTCAGTATTTACCAGTCAGTTAAAATATATGGTTCAATATTTACAAAGTACTGCTATTTTATTTGGCTGACACTTATACAAAGTGACCTATGTTTGCACCCATTTATACAGCAGGGCATTTTACTGGAAGATTTTGGGTGAAGTGCTTAGGGGTACAGCAGTGGTGTCTTAGCTGGGATTTTAACCCACATACTTGCTGTTAGTAAATCCAGAACCCTTTGCTTATGTACGTATTCTTATAAATATCATCATCAGCCCATTTCAGCCACTGTTTAATGAAGGTACATTCAAGGCTGGAATTCTGTTTCTTTATTGTGTGTGTTTTGAACACTTACCAACAACGCTGCAGTGCTCCCTGTGTCGTAGTTAAGACATTAAAAATATATTTCTGTTGTTGAAGTCAGTCACACTGGAGCTTCTAATTATGTCCGGCACAATTATCAGTACTCCAAACTGATGGCTCACAAGTTCTGTTGGGCATTCTGTAGCTGATGAGAGCTGTCACTTGATACAGGAAAAATGAATGTACAGTGGGAATCTGCAGTGAGAATTCCAAGGCTATCGGGCTGTTGAAAACGATGCTGTAATGAGATCTTGCCATCATGCTAAAATGTTTTTGACAGTACTATAATCCAGTGCAGAGCTGCAAATAATCCATGATGGGTTATTCTATTATGTTTACTGACACACAGCACAGAACTAAAACCCTCAAGAGGGGAAAAGAGTTAAATAGCTGATTTATTTTTATCAAATGGTGACCTTGGGCTGGAGTTGAGAAATGTGAAAATATACATTATATGAATTTTGGAAATATTTATCTTTGAAAAAATATTAAAGTTTATTATAAGTAGTATTTATTTTAAAGAAGGTCCATTTTTTATTTAATCCCCCTCTTTTGGACATTTCCCAAAAATATATTGTATTTGTATAACATGGAGACATTTTTAAACATTCAGCAGTGCCCAACGTACTGATTACAATCACTAAAAAATTGAGAAAGCTTCAAAAAAGTTGGACTTATATATCAGTATTAACGGAGGTGGACAATAGAAGCTCGAGCTTGGTTTAGCAAAACATGTCCAGTTGATTTGACATTACCAGCTTTGACATTGACAGGCAAAATGCTCTTTTAATTAATACAATCGGAATAATAATAATAAAGGAAGAACAGATTTGTGGATTCTGTTCAGATGCTAATTTTGTTCAGTGCCATTCCTTGTGTGTGACAACAGCTTGTAACACTCTAATTAGAAAGAAAATCAATTAGCACACAGGCATCACAGAAAGAAGTTAAAACTTTTCTTGTTTCCTTTCGGTGTAAAAAGTAGACCCAGTTAAAGGTGGCTGTAAACTGTTTTACTTTTCACTGGAAATATCAGGTGGTAGTCAGGAGGGAGACAAAATGAAGGAATGAAGAGGAACTAAAAGTATACACAAGTTGCATACATTTTATTGCCCACTTTTTATGCCTTGTTTGTTCTTTTTAATGGGCGATGGAAATGTTAAGTGCTTACCTGAGTGAGCTGTCAGAAAGCCTTTTCCTGGTGTGTCAAAGAGAAGTCACCATATCTCTTCCTGGAGAAATGGTTTCAGACAACATAAAAATAGCTTTGGGAAAATAAGTCTATATCCAAAACTCAGCATAGATAATTACGTGGAGAAAGTGAAATTTTACAGATGAACAAATGTGACCTCATATGCCAAAAGGATTTGCAGCTGTGCATGCCCTTTCTCAGAGTACGACAGATGAGCTATGAAGACAGGTTTCTCCTGGGGAATGAGTGAAAGAAAATAAGAGAAAGAGTTTAAATTAAATTATTCTCCAAATTATCCACAGAGCCTGTCTTTGTGCCAGTTGTGAATGAGAATATGTGACCATGAAATTTTTTAATGGAAACAGTGTGTTTTCACCATTAGCCATTATTAGTAATGCAGATAAGGGGAGAAGGGAGAAATAAAAATGAATTTGTGGTGTCCTGAGTCACAAAAGGAGAAGTATGAATCAGAATTCCATAATGAATATCAATTGTGTATCTTAGATCAAACTTCAGAATTATGCATTTCCTTATATTTAAGGTTGTAAAGTTTAAAAGTAAATGTTTTTTTAACTGAGATGTGCAGAACAAAATACTTTTTCCCACAGGATACTCGTTGCCATCAATAATTACCTTCACTCCAGAACTGAAATTTTACATTTCTCTTTTTTTTCATGGAAAGCAACAAGGTCATACTAGCTAGTTCAGAATTCACTCTTTATCTCTGCCTTGAAAGAAGAGAGCTCAGTGTGGGTCAGAGTCAGAATTCCAGGAGTAATGTCCTAGTACCGAGGGAAAAAAGGCAAAGCACTGTATGTCCATTCCGAATGTATATAGTATAGGAAGAAATGTTAATGTTAAGTAAAAGCTTTGTATCTTATCTCTCACACATAGCGGTTTGTACTAGTTGTTCATGTATTTGTGTAGAGTACATTTAAGTGTAACCTGTGTAACACTTCTGTATTTTACACACAGGTAAACTTTTCCACACGTCAGAATACTGAAAGCAGAAAAAAAAAGTATCTTGATAACTGGGAGAAAAACTAAAACTTGATGAAGAATTAGTTCCATGTAAAGTGAAAAAAAAATACTTGAATTTTCCTTTTAATTTCTTCCATGTGTGTCAGCTCAGGTGGTCAAATTACAGCATTGCTGTGATGTCAGTGTAACGGAGTGTGCTAGAGAGCAGCAGCTTTGCCTGCAATCTGCTAAACTTAGTCTACAGCTTTGAGGAACACAGAGGCACACGGAGCGAGGCAGGGGAGCACAGCTGATGTAAAAGCACAGTGTGAAGAGAGCAAAACGGAAACCTCTAGAATTTCAGGGGTTTCTGCTGATGACTTTGGGGATCGGAATGTTCAAACTTAATGTATGTACTGTATATGTACTGGGTGCTGCAAGTTGAATGGTCTGGGTGATTTCCTCACTGATAATTTATTCTAATTGCACTGTACAGCAAATGTATGTTCTCAGGCTTCAGTTTAATCTTCATCTTCGATTCCAGTCATTCAGTTGTCAATAGATGTCCATTTTAATAAGAATCTGTTGAGGAAAGCTTTTGAAAATGTCCCAGGATAAGGCCAAGATCAGCATTGCAACAAGCACAGGTACTAAAATTAGCAAAATGTCTCCTTTATGCTGTAAGCTTTTTTATTCTCCTCTAGAACAGATTCTAGTATTCAATACCTACTAGCAACTAAATGAACTTGATAGGCTGGAAGATGTAATATTTCTCATGTTCCTGACTTTGTTGACTGTTCCCACTATGGAAATGCAAAATAACGTCCTCTCAAATGAAATATTAATGAGCAAGTTTCCATCTGCCTTTCCCATTAATTAACTTTTTTGCAGCAGGAGATGAGAAAGTATTCCACAGTAGCACGACCTTCTGTGCAGAATGCTTCTCTAATTGGCTCTAGACACTCTCCCCTAGCACCAATTTGTTTCCCCACTACTCTCTTCTTAAGATTTTAGGAAGTCCTTTCATGAGCCATCTCTTTGCTGGAACTATGAGTTGGCAAGAAAAATACACAAATGGTTGTGGCAGCCTATTTTGAGTTAAGCAAAATCAGATATTTATCAATAGGCTTATCAAGGTTGGAGTATCAGCTTTGATATAAGACAACAATATTCAGTACAATAGGAGTTTCAGGGTCAGGGTCTAGAATCTATTTTATCAGAAAGACCTGATTTTAATGACAGCAAGAATAGCCTCCTCTTCTTTTCACCTTTCTCATTTTCTTGTAATGAACGTCAGCTGGTTACAATTGGCATGTTTGTAGGTGACCTGTGAAGTTACCAGGAGAATGAAAGGATTGTGCTTCAACAACCAGTAGACCTTGAAAGCAGCTTTCTGAGAGATAGGAAGGGATTCTTCTTTATCAGAAAGAATCAGTCTTTTTACCTTTAAGTACAGATTGAGAGCAACCTTACTGCTTAATCGCATATTGTATAAAATAGTGTATCAAATCTTACTGCAAGCGAATCCAGAATTACCATTTTTCTGATAGGACAATGCGAGATCACACAGTGCTAGGATTACAATAGCACAACTTTGAGAAAACAATGTTTTCTCTTGCTATGGCCAGCTTGTCCTCCTGATCCGAATTCAATTCTGGGGAGCCCTCTCCACTGCTGTCAACGGGAGACAACAGCAACCGGCTCACTGCAGCTGTGCAGGAGGAGAAGCAGAACCTCCCACAGCAGTCTGTGCAGGGGCTGATCAGGTCTGTGCATCAATGCTATCAGGAAGCCATACCTGGAATTAACCTTCTAATACTGTATATCTATTTTGATAATGTCATGTGCCATATTGAAATGCACCACAATTCTTTGATTTGCTTTTTGTCAATGTTTTCTTTGATTTAAAAAAAATGTTTTTGTTTAACACATTCAATTTTCTGACGGGGTGGCCTAGTGGACCAGTGGTTGATATTGCTGCCTTGCAGGGCTGGGGCCCTGGGTTCAGTTCCTGGGGTACTTTGTGTGTGGAGTTTGTTATCCCTGTGTTTCAGTGAGCTTCCTTCTGTTGCTTTTCTCCCACATACCAAAAACATACTGGTAGGTTAACTGGCTTCTGCGAAAACTTGTGTAAGTTAGAGCATGTCCATATTTGTGTCTATCTGCCCTGTGATGGACTGGTACCCTGTCCAGGCGATATTCTGCCTTGTGCTTCCCTATGACCCTGGATTGGGAGAAATGGTTAGAAAAATGGATGGATGGGAAGTTCAGCTTTTTTACTCTTTTGTGCATCAGTATATGAGGTTTGCATGTATTACACATTAGAAATCAGATATATAAATTAATTAGTTAAGTTTTCTGGGGTCTTTGAAAAAAGGGCAATGGGTAATCAAATGACTGAATAACTTATAATACTCTCTTAGTGGACTTGGAACCATTTAGCATATTCCTGGCTGTTATTAGCTTAACCTGTAATGGAATATAAATGAGCCCATATGGCTGCGATATAATCATGTTTCTTCTAAAAAAGCTCCCTGTGGTGGGTGTGCAGAAAAGCATGTGCATTCTGGAGGGCAAAGTTTTCCACATGCCTGCACACTCATTTGCATGGAGAAAGAATCCGAAGGGGCACAATACCGACATGCATCTTAATGAAAAAGGCAAGCAGACGATGCTGCATCCGCCTCAGGTTCTGTTCCCTTTGATTGACACCTAGTTCGGAGTAAAAGGCTTCTCCCGGGGGGGGGAGGCTTGTGTACAGGAATCTTGACTATGCAGGCGCAATAATCAAGAGCCTTAATTATTATTAGTCCAAGGGGATTGGCAACACATCTCTTGGGAACTGTTGCCATCTCACGCTCTCTCTTTGGTTTCCCAAAAGCAGTTAGTTTTGCTCTCATCCCTTTTCTCTCCCCCCATTTTATTTCTAGCCGGCGTAGAGGGGTAGCTGTGAAGAATGAATTCGGCACCAGCAGGCCCGAAGGAGCTGCAGACTTGAATGCTCCAGAGGTGCACAGCACTGTGTTCTCGGGAGCCAGCTCCAAATGCAGTCCAGATGTTGCCAACATCGAGCTGGAGGTTCTCAGGCGGCAGTGGAGCCACAACAGAGGGGGAAATGGATTTTTAAAATTCCACAGGCCTTCTGTTCGGTTTCCATGCTGCGGATTTCATTTCATGAACGCCGAGCGTGGTAGGTGCCAAGGAGCACTGTGGCCCCCAGAGAGTCTAAAGTGACTGCTGTCTTAAAGGGCTCCAAGGGCTTGGTCTCTGTGGGATCTCCAACATTTCAATCTAAACATGATTTTGTAGGATTTTGCTAGCTATTGTACGTTATTTAAGAATATTATTGTTTTTTTTGCCGTCTAGAATCCATATCGGTTTGTCTTATCACAGAAATGACAAAAAAGTTAGAGTAGTTTGATGTAGGCTGTTTATTTATGAGAACTGTGAGGTGACATTTTTTGCTTCTTAAAAAAACTGAATTCAAAGTGAACTGAAATCTCCCTTTGTGCCATAGTACTGTAAATGCCACATTAGTTTCGATATATATCAAGCTATCTAATAGTTATGGTTGAATTTTAGTCCTTTTTCATTCCTGTGAGATATTAAAATTCTGTACTTAATGATCCAAGAATCCAACCAAGCTGATTGGTTCCTAAGTTACCATCTACCCATATCAATTATTTTGCCTTCATGACTCTTCAAGGAGTTGTATTATAGGGTTGTTGCACCTGGAGTTGTTTTGTTTTTTTATAAATTCCTAGACTACCTTCCCTAAAGGATTATGTGAAATGGCAGATGATCTTACTCTTTAGTAACCTGTCATTCCACCTAGTAGGGGAGGCGTTGAAAGAGACTGCTGTCACGCCAACTGGAACTGAGGCAGGTCCTAACAGCTAGTCAAAGAAGGTGTTACAGCAAAAGGATGTGAGGAGGGGGTGCTTCTTAAACCACAGGAAATGTAAAGATAAACTCTTCTGTTTAGATTTTAGAAGCACTAAGGTACAAATTACTTAGTATGACTGTACGTTTACAATCAAACAGGATTTTTAAAACTTCATAAATGATATATCCTCAAAAGTAGCTCTGTGCTGTATTTTGCCCTCTATACGTAATTAGAAATTATAAAATTTTCAAAAGAATTCCAGCCTTGTTCTTCAAATGGTGTGTAATACAAATGATGGCAATTTCTGTCTTTTTTCAGGAATAAATGTTCAACTGACCATGACACAAAGTATTGTCTTAAGATTTTTCTCTCATAGTCTTCTTGGAGTTTTGCACATTTCTGAGTTATCTTCTCTGAGGTTCTTATGCTCCCCTTTATTTTTTTTACATTAAATTAGATTATTTTATTCATCTGAATCCCGTTGGCAATTTTATACAAAAGCTTCAAACAAACAGCTCAACAGTGGAAGTCTGCAAAAACTCTTCTGAAGGAGGAGGGAGTTCCACAATAATTCAAATCACATGAAGTAAATGTGTTTAACTTGTTTGTCTGCAACCATGAGATGACACTGATTATCTGTAAACCAGCTTACTACTGTAGCTGAATGTTTTACTTTCTGATAGGAACAGCATCTCAAAGAGCCAATGTCACTTCTGAAGGTTTAGAACTATTCAGGTGTAAAACTAAACTTTTTTTAAAATATTATTTTGGAATATGGAGTTTATAACAGATCTCTGGGAGAAAGATTAGATCCTAATTTTGTCCACTTCTGCTCTCCTATGTATCTATATATCTTGCCCCCTGGACTTCACCTTGCGCATCTCTCTTGCACCCCTCCCGCCGAGTTATACCCTTGCAGAAGCTCCCATGCTCATTCCTTGCAATGGGTTTGGGGTTTGGCAGCCATATCCTCGGCTAGGTGGCTTTCACCCAATACCCTCTACACATTTCACCCCTCTGTTGTTAGAAAGGTTAGGTAAAGTAATGAAAAAAATATCTAATCATTATCAGAATGTCACTCAATACTGGGAAGGTTTGTTGCATTCTGGAGCCTATTGCAAATGCACAGACTACAAGGCAGGACTTCATCCTGGATGGAGTCTCAGTCATCGCGGGGTACACACACACACACGGACGCTTTGGGGACACCAACTAGCCTATCTAGCATATCATGGTGGAGGCAACCTGATCATCAAGATCATCCAGATGTTACACTTTCAAATTCCATACCACCCTGCCACCCAACAGTGAAAAAGCTGAGAAGTGTCCCAAATATACAGTAGAAGAAGATGCCAATGGCCATTGCTGAAGTTCTCCATGTTAACTGTACTCCAACAGCCAGGCCTTAATAGTTTAGATTTTTTCCTTCTTTGAATGTTTTTTTTATGCAGACCACAATGGATCATAACAAAATCGAAATAAAAAGTTTGTCACAGGAGAAATGCAAAACAAATAACTTTTACAAAAAACTGAAAATGTCGTTGACATTGTTGAAAATGAGCATGACAATGTTCTCAGTGGTTCACAGGTAAATCTTATCACATAATAAGCTACAGACTGACCGATCATGCAGGATAACCCAGGCACTTGTGAAGATACTAATTCAATCAGAACGATGGCTTTAGGCATCCTGTTATTTTGAGATTAACCCATCACACAATTTGATACAGGAATTTGTTGGGCGAAGAATCAAATTCTGATCAGGTATAATATAATTTGCAGTACTCTAGGTCTTTCTGTAACTGATTGATTCAAGGATGTCATCTACTTTCTTGAAAGAAGCCTGGTTACAAGCTTCTACAAGTACAGTATGAGATAGCTGGGCATCTTGTTGTGAAAGAAAAGAAGTGCCTCATGTTCTCAGCTCCTGTGAAGTTTCCATCTGCGTCTTTTGGTTCACGTTTCACTGGTGTTTCAGTCCACTGTGTTGACCATGGCGAAGCTTTAGAAGACTCTGAATACTTAAAAAGGTCCCCTCATATTCCTCTGTGTTCAGGACTAAAGACATTCTGCTCTTTCAGAATGTCAGTGTAGGACATTTCTTTGAGCCCAGGAATGTATCAGGTTGCTCTCCTCTGGAGTTCAGAGCAGCAATACATTTATTGTCATGTTGTGTCCAAAATTGCACAATTTTAACATAACATCCCCTAATTTAAATTCTACCTTTTAACTTTATATCCTAACTTTTTATTTTGCCATTTTTGCTAAATTTTCTTAGAGATGTCAGCATGAGTAGCCTCTCCAAGCTCAGTGTTTTCTGAAAAACCACTGCATTTAACTACAATATAAATGTCCAGAATTGGCATTAAATCTTTTTTAAATTAAACTAATTACAGTACATTACCCCCAATTTGAGTATTTATTGATTATTTGGTCATTTATGCCCAGTAACCAGTTATAATCCAAGTACATCAAAAGCTTTCTGAAAACTTAAATATAAAGTACTATTGCTCTGTATATTCTAACAAATTAAGCAAGACTGGTGCTGAACAATTCATATTGAGTATCTCTTAGAACCTTATTGCCAAACAGAATTAGTAATACTTATTAGTCTGTATTGACTATGTTTAGTTCTGTAACCTTTTTCATGAATAGGCATTAGCGAATTTCTAGTCAGGGAGTATTACCTCTGTCTTGAGACTGCAAGAAGAATTATCAGTTGTTTCCTTAAGTGCAATTTGTTTGAACACAATCAGGCCCTGGAGATTTGTTTATCTTGAGTGTCTCCCATAACTGTAACACTTCTGCCTTGTCTATGTCTAATACTATTTAATATGGAACTTTGTCTTTCCTCAGCCTGAGGCATGTTATCTGTTCCTTCCTTAGTAAACACTTCAGTGGAATATCTTCTTAATACATGAACCATTTTCCTGTCATTATCTAAACATTTCCCTTCTTTATCTCTGAGACACTTTAATTCACCACCTTACTCTTCTTTTGCTATTGTAAAACGGAAAAAATATTGTTTTAAACTGCATTGCACTATTCCTTCTTAAGTCTCTCTTAGAAAGTCTCTATTAGAAATATCATTTTCTAATATGTGCTTGCAGTTCATTATACTCCTTTTATTTAACTGGATTTTGAATGTTTCAGAAGGAGGTTTCTTTCTCCTCATCTTCTTCCTTATTTTAACAAATCAAGTTAAATGGATTCAGCCTTTTTGCACTCTTTCTACCAGTCAAGAAAAAAAAAACCTTATATAAAGCAAATAAACACAGAAACTACATTCCTCCTTAGTACAAAGGACAAAAATGCACTTCGTACCGCTACACTACTTAGGTATCCATACTTCAGGAAAAAACATGAAGTCAGAAGACCACAGATTCCTACACTATGGAACAAAGTAAAAACTAGGCATAAGGCAACTTTAGGCCCTCAAATAATATTCATAGTCCTGTAATGCAGCAATAAGTTTAAGAATTATTTTAAAGGTAAAAAAGTTGAGTGCATACACTGGACTATAGTGTCGTATAAAATTACACTATTCTGGTGTTACCTTTATCTTTCCTATGAGACCTACAGTATAGACATCTCAAAAGTGTTCTTTTATAAATGTTCAACAGTCCCACAATGCCATGCATTTTCAATGTTTTAGTACCTTTGACTTGCGTTCTGAGTTTTGACCTATCAGTTTTCAAATGTCAAGCACAGATTTATATTTTTGCTTTCAAATAGATTAGAAACTGCTGTTTCAACACGATAACAACACAAATTCTAAACTCTTTTCAGAGCTCTGTAAGAAATGCTATTTCCTTTTTATGAATTCTGTTTAAAAAAAGCACTAAAACACTATACAGTACATTTAAACTTAAAACATGAATACCTGTATTTCAATCATAAAACTAACCATTTCCTGTAATGTAATTGGAAAAAAAAAATTCTCCAGCACACAGAAGTACAATATCTCACCATGGCTCTGATTTTAGAAAGATAGGAAGGGGTTCAATAAGGAGCGGTGACTCATGGAATTCCAGGCAAAGGTCAGAAAATGAATCAGGAAATTCGCTTGAAAGTAGAAATAATCCAAAAATATTGACGTGCTTAAAATGAATGTTTTCACATAACCATTCTTTTCAACTGGAATTTAGGGAAATCATGACTGGGGTACCCAGTAAAACTCCAAATCACCCTTGTTCTGCCACCAGTTGCCACTACTCATCCAGAACATTAGATACAGTTTTGTGGACGAGATGGATGCAGGAGGAGAATCAAGTCACTGCTGGATTACAGCAGGCCCATGGCTAGAGCAGTCCAGCATATCAGCTACCCTAAATTATGAGGTTCATGAGTCATGACATCACTGGATTAATAATTGAAGTGAATTTCCATCACTGTCTTCGGCCATAAGATACATTTTTATGTGTGTTTTATTTTTAATATGCTCAAGTATTTTAT